TATGAGAAGGCTTAAATAATTATGGTAAGTGATTAATAATGTGAAAAGTCAATTTTCTGACGAAAAGTGCAGATACTGATTCTGCCTCACGGTATAAATACGTACCGATGAAGTATCCCAAAAAATTATAATGAGTATGAAACTATTTCTAGAATAATATCTAGGACTAGTATGTCAAGTTTTAAGTCAAAATAATGAGAACTGGTGTCAGAACTGATACCGGCTACGTAAAAGCGCATACCGGCAAAGTACAGCGAAAATAAAATAAAAATATGAAAAATCATAGAAAAATGGCTAGTTTCAGAATTCAAAGTTTGGGATTAAAATGCTAAGCGTAGCTATTAGCGCTAATACAATGTGATTAAAACTTAAGTAGACTATATAAGGACTTGGCACATGATCCTAGGTCAGAAAATCATAAACCTTGCGTGAGTTTTTTGAGCTTCTAGAGGCAGCCACCTTCCTCCACCTTCTCCCCTCCATTGAAGCATCAAGAGACCATCTTTTCTCTTGGTTTCTGCACAAAAGTTCCTTGTATGAGTGTGCTCTAGCCTTGGGTGGGTGAAAGTCTTGGCATTTCTGAGTTTGGCACCCTCTTTTCTTGAGTTTGTGAGGGCTGTATTCTGAGTTGTTGGAGAGGTGACCATTTACTTGGCATTTGAAGCTTCAAGGTACCATTTTGGTAGAGAAAGAACCAAGTTTTGTTGGTCAAATTCGTGGACCCTTTGAAGTCATACTTTGGAGCTGCCTTGTGAGCTCCAAGAGCACTTGTGGTTCTGTTTTGAAGCCTTGGGTAAGTGTCATCACCTTTGATCATGATTTTCCTTGTTAAAAGAAGAGCCTTGGCATGTAATATAATAAAATGAAGTAACCAACATGAACATGAACCTAAAAGTGTATAAAAATGCATGCTTGGACGTTGAAATGGGTTAAAGTTGAACCTTGGGAGTGATATCTCGTGAAATGCAGAAACTGCATTCTGTCGCAAAAATATCCGGATATTGATATCCGGATATGGGGTTAGAGATATCCGGATACGACATCCGGATACGGATATTCAGATATGGCCCCGACAAATATTCGGATATTCTGGGAATTTCAAGAGTGTCACTGTTCTGTTCGGACATAATGGTATTTTTGGGTTTGTAGACCCATGATTGGTTAAGTTGAACCTCTGTAACAATTAACTTATGGCTTTGTGAGAAGCCTAAAGACATGAAACCAAGAAGAAAACGTTGTTGTTGTGTCTTGAATTATTAGGAGATGAATATTGATATAATTGCTGGTCTAAAACAGATTGTGATACTGCTGTTTGTGGACTTTGAGCTTGGTTGGTTTCTTGTGTTGGATAGTTAGCTTGCGAGGTAAGCTTTCGTATCCTCGGTTTAGCCATTGTTGGTTCCATCATACCCCATGGGAGATGGTTTATATGCATGATGTGTTTTCATGTATTGATATTTGAAATGTTGTTGAGCTTTTATGTGCAAGTGCCTTATGATATGCATGTGTTGTTCCACCTAGACGGTAAGCCTGAGTATATGATGTCATACAATAGGGTGATTCTGTGGGTGGATGCAAGTGGTGTCTTGCACTGATTTTAGGAAATAGACGTATGTAAATCCTGCATTTCTTTGGCCAGTAGAATAATTGACACACATGACATGATTATTCAGCTGCATTGCACTGATTTTGGAACTTATACTGTTTTACTGCTTTTAGAACTTATATTGCACATGTAAGTGAGCTTGAGGTGGAAAGATCCTTGAGGACCCCTTGTCTTACTGAGATTTCTGTTTAGAGATCTCACCCCACGTTTGAGGCACATTTTCAGGTTCAGGTAACTCGGGGGTTGAGATCTCGGGCGGCAGGAGGTCGGAGCTGATGTGATATGCTTGCTGTTTATACTGTTATGTTTGGATGCTGACATGTTTTATATTTACTACTATGTTTTGTTGATTGAGACTTTGTTGGGCTTTGTTTCCTTATTTGGTAAGCATGGGGGTTGTCCATGCCACATCGATTGACTATGTCTTATTTTAGAATTGAGTTGTATAATTGTATCAGGATATGGTCCGGACTACGTGTTGTAGTTCCATGATTTAGATACACATATATTTATATTATGAGGTTATTCAGTGTAGTTAGCTGTCTATTTGCTATGATTACATACAGGCAATGTTTTGAATAAGGATTAACTAATCAACTTGGTAATTCATAATGACATCATAATTGAAAAGAAAAAGTTAATTCCGCATTTTAATTAAGTTTAGCTTAATACGATGACATGATAACAAACCGGGTATACACGGGGTGTTACAAGAGGCTGGCTGGATAAAGATTAGTTCTGATGGGGCAGCTAGAAAGGATGGCAGTGGGGCTGCTTGCGGTGTTATTATAAGGGATGGAATAGGCCATTGGTTACATGGTTTAGCCTATCATATTGGTAATTGTTCTGCGTTTGTTGCGGAACTATGAGGTGTTCTCAAAGGCCTTGAAGCTGCGTGGGCTGGTGGTTGGAGGCGCTGCATTATTAGAAAGTGAATCAAGTTCTGTTATCACTTTGCTCACCAAGTTTGGTAGAGCAGCTCGAGCGTCCCGTTTGGTAACTGATGTTCGAGCTTGGCTACAGAGAGATTGGGAAGTCCAGCTGGTTCATGCTTTTAGAGAAAGTAATGGATGTGTTGATTGGCTTTCTAAATTTCCTTTAGACAATCATATAGATAATAATTTGTGTTTTTTCCCCAACCCTCCCCTGTATTTGGCTGATTTCTCTTCTGTTTGTAATTTTCGCAAAGTTTATTTGAATTGATTTCTCTAGGGTTTTCTTCCCTAGTTCACCAAAACAAAAAATATTAATAACACTTGCATATACAAATTAGAGCCTGTTTGGATTTTATCTTTTCTAAGATAGAAGCTACTTATAAGTTAAAGTTAAAAAAAAAAAAGCATAAAAAGAAAAAGTTAAAAGTTGTTTAGTAATTACATAAAAAATTTCGTTTAAAAGGACATATTTCAAGAAAACTATCTCTCTCTATCTTTTGTAGCTCTTCATTTAAAAAAAAAAAAAGTACACAATTCAAGAAAAGCATATAACAGCTTAAAAAAACTCCTCCTAGAAGCTTTTAGCTTTTAGCTTTTAGCTTTTAGCTTTTAGCTTTTTTCTTCATTATTAAAAAAAGTGTTTTTCAATATAAGAGTTTTTCTCAAAACTTGTTTGGCCTAACTTATGCTTATAAGTATATTTTAACTTAAAAAAGAGAAGATCTAAACAGGCACTTAATCCTGTTCATTTATGCTGATTCTTCTCCTTTCTATGGAGCCGAATTTTTTGTGTCATGTCATTTTATTTTACAGAATAATATTTTTGCAATTATTGTAGATAAGTTATTTGCATTTACTCCCAAAACGACGTCGTTTTGAGATTAAAAATAATTATAATTATAAAGACTATAATAATCCTGAAATAAATTAAAATTGTAAAAACACCATGATTTCCGCCCCAAAACGACGTCGTATCAGTAACTGTAGAAAAAGAGAACCCTTTATTTTATTATTAAGTTTTAATATTTTAAAGCATTTTTTCTATGGAAAATAGTAGTCTCATGTTGTAGGAGACTACTATCTTATGTCATAGACACTTCGATAAGTGTGCTGCTATTTTCTTTTCTTTTCTTTTCTCTTTTTTAGTGGTGGATCTCATCATTTTGTGTCTTAGCATAAGATATGTTCTCTCCTACAAACCCTTTTTTCTATTGAGTGATGATATTCTAACTACCAAAAAATTTCACTACTAACTTACTACCTATCACATTACCATTGGATCAAAGAGAGAATGTTAAAAAGTGTTTGAAGAGAGAGAAAATGTTAATCAAATGGTGATTAGATAGATAATAAGTTGATAGTGAAAAATTTTAGTAGTGAGAATATCCCTCCTCTTTTCTATTATGTTAAAAGCAAATAAGATCATAATACATGAGTGATGCACATGCGTGACTAAGCACATTCTAGAACCTCTCCTGGAGATAAAAACAAACATTTTGAAATGAGAATGCCTTTTTTTTTTTTTGGTAAATAAATGAGAATGCCTTTAATACGATGAACGTTGAACAAGTGACGTCAAAAATATATTTATTATTAAAAACATTTCTAGACTTTTTAGTATTAAGTAAAATGTATACAATAAGTAATTACCACATAATTTTATTGTTAAAAATTATCAAAATAAGTTAGGTCGATTTAAACCACTTAAAATAAATTATGGTAATTTTTTAATATATAATGAAAGATTTAATTAATTCTGATAAATTATCAATATATAATATTTTTATACTCCATTTAATTACATATTTACAAATTATTAAAAAAGTTTGAATATCATTTCACTACTTAACAAGTCCAATATATACTTCGATTGTGTGCTGATATATATCATTAAATAGTAGTATACAAAAATTTATACCGAGAAGTATAAATTTTAAACTCCATATTAATTAAAACTCAACATGAAATTCTGACATTTTTCTAAAGAGATTTAAAAAACAATAATGACATTTAAATAAACTTATACGATTAAGTGAGACTTACGTAATATTTTATTTAATAATAAATAATATTAAAACAAAACTGTCAAAAAAAAGTGTGATAGAAATAAAACTCATCTGACCACTTAATAGTTTAAACTAAAATTTACTCGCTCATACTAAAATCAGGTATTAGTCAACTAAAACTTAAATTCCTGATCAGAAGAATGAAAGTATGAAACAACCAACTCAAAAAGCAGAATTTAATAGCATTAAACTTGTCATAAGAGAAACAAATTTCCAAAGAGACTTCTAATTATAGAATATGATGATATAATAATAATGTTAATATTTGATTGCAATATACACTTCTAGCACAAAAGGGTTGAAGGCCAAATTATGATTCAATCAGGCTTTTTCAGTCCTAGAACTGAGTAAAAAAAGCAAATTCCCAAATTCCCAGTTACAAATTGGACTAATCTAAAACATATTGGTAACTGCATAAGCTGTAATATCACTGCAGCTACTTTTTTCTTGACAAGCAGCATCATCTAGAAGCCATTTCTCAAGCAAAAAGAAGGGCATTTCTGCATTAGCATCATCATCTGGTTTGCTCACATCTTGGAAAAGAGTAGCCTCAGGGGAAAGAGATTGAGAAAACTCAGAATTTGAAGAATCCAAATTAGACTCATAACCAAACAAAGATTCAAAAGTCTCAGATAACTCAACATTGTTGTTTCCCTTTGCCCCCCAACTTGTGGTTCCTTCACTAGAAGCAGTGTCATTCCCTGCATAAGCCAAGTTATTAAAGGAATTCTGTGTCATAGCTGAGTTAGCACATGAGGCCTTTGGTGCATTTTTCATCCACCCTTTCAGCAAACGAGCAATGTTATCAGCACTTGAAGCATAGCTTGAAGACTGTGTTGGTTTAATGGTACAGAAAGAGCCACCATTGGAAAGATTTGATTCTGGTAAGCAAGGTGTCTTGTTTGGTGAAAGAGCCTCACTAAGAGCTCTTTTGGCCATGTGGATATCAGTTTGGAGCCTTCTTTCCCATTGACCTCGAGGCATTGGTTGAGAAGCTGAAAAACCATGTCCCAAGCTTCCTTCAGAACCTGTTTCCAATTTCTTGAGCCTCTTTTTCAAATAGGTGTTCCAATAGTTTTTTATGTCATTATCTGTTCTCTGTGGAAGGTATGCAGCTATAGCAGCCCATCTGCATCATAAATCAATGTGTAGCTTTAGTTTAACATGTGAGAATCCAAATTTTAACACAGCTGCATTTCCACGGACTCAAACTCTTTCCAGTTACACAGCTGCATTTCCACGGACTATCCACATGATTGGTGATATATATATATATATATATATATATATATATATATATATGGGTCAGGATCATTTTACACCAATGTAAGTTACAATCTCAATCTTGTCCGATGATTCCACTTATATCTAAGGGCTTTAATTTTTTAGTAATGTGAGCCATTGGATATAAGTGAATCAATGGTCAAGATTGAGTGTAAGATTTCTAACTTTTTTACTGGTGTAAGAAAGTACTGCTCCTATATATATACATTAAAGAGAGCAAAAAGAGCTTGAAGGTGAATTTGATTACCTGTTCCCTAAAAGTGCTTGAAGATGGATTATCATCTTCTCCTCTTGTTCTGTGAAGTTACCCCTTTTGATTCCTGGCCTAAGGTAATTAGTCCATCTAAGTCTACAACTCTTACTGCACCTTGACAACCCTGAAAAATAACCAAAACACCATTTCAGATCAAAGGGCTAAAAGAATCAGCATTTCCCTAATATGACATGATCTGATAAAACAAGACAAAAGAAAATTACAATATCATAAAAAAAAATTACACAATAATGAAGAAATTAAGATCAGAGTTGAAGATTAACCAGTATTGGTGGGAACAGCTTTCCAATTGCCAGGACCATGTTCCTGTATATGAGACACCAATATGATATCTTCTTCAGGAGTCCAAGGTCCTTTCTTGACACCTTCTTTATCACAACAAGGTGGTCTTCCCATCTTTTCCTTGCACCTTTATCTTAATTTCACTACTTTATATGCTCCAAAAAAATGTATAACTCTCCCTCTCTTGTCTCTGAAGATCTCTATTACTTTCTTAATATTTTTCCTTTTCCTTTTCCTCTTACTTGCTAGAAGGTGCTATAAGGCAAGAGTCCAAGGCTAAGGAAGGTTTGGTGTGTATAAATAGAGAAAAAAGAGAAGGGTTTGAAGGTATGGAGAGTGTTGTGTGAGGAGGGACCTACAGAGAGAGGAAACTAAATAGTCAAAAGCTGACGGTAAGAGCATTAACTCCTAAGGAACAAGATGGCCAAAGTCAGCTCAAGCTTGAGTTATACCTCTCTCTCTCTCTCTCTCTATGTGACTTTCAAAACCGCGTGGTGCATTCAATGTGGCTGCACTGGGAAAGCTCTATTATCTACTTTTAAAGTCTCTAAACCCCAGCAGCCATAAATGTTAATGTGATATAGCTGGTGACACTAGCAATGCCAAAGGTTTGACATATATACTATTATGCCTGTTTTCAAGTGCTTGTGAATAGTTCTCATGATCTCAATGAATCAGCTCTTTCTCTTTCAACTTATCTATTAAGTACATTGATTAATTGTATTTGAACATTGATTTTTTAAATTTATGAGACTGGCCATATATATTAACTGAGTCCCTTGGTTCTTTAGAAAGGGATAAAATGATCAATAATATTTTCTTTTTTGAAGGTTATTAAAAGGGATGTTGTGTGCGTTTACTTTTTTTATGGAATTAATTGATTTTTATGAATAAAATTTATTCGTGCACAATTTTCTAATGGGAAAGCCTTAAAGTTCATTTATTATGATTTAGTGCGATAAATATTAAATAATTGTTTATGACATCAACCGACCTCTTGGTATATAAGGGGACTCAAGAGTCAAGATCGGGTTGGAGCTTTGGCCAATCAAGTGAGATCTGACCTTTGGTGGATCCAGAACATGAATATAATGCATGGCCATAAATGGTGATTATAAACAATTATGATTTTACAAATTTGGTGAAGGAAACCAAATACACACCTCAAACTGTTTTTTACTTTGACATTCATAATAAATTTCATGAATGGCATTTGTAAGAGTAGGCACCCATACAAATGCCCACTATTGCCTTTGAATGTGTCATAAGTGGTACTCATTAATACAAATATGAGAGTACACACGTAAGTGTCAAAGTACATCTAACTCGCTGTCCCAATTAACCAAGCTGCTTGAGACATGCAAATGTAAATTTTCATGTCTTATTGAGTTATTTTCGAAGGACATCATGCTAATAGTATAGCTTCCTTGGGACCTTAATATTATGGTAGTTAAAATCACGATTTAAATCTTAAAATCTTGATTTTAACGATTTATTTTTGCTAAAACGATTTAGATTTCACTTAAAATCGTTTCCAATATAAAATTCTGATTTAGACATTTACTTAAGTCCCGATTTTAAGATTTAAATCCCAATTTTAACTATTGGAATGATGTTAAGCAAGTTAGAAAAATTGTTGAATATCACATTGCTGATGTTTCATCCGAAGATGAATGGATTATGGAAAATGAAGGAAATTAATCTCATGATGAAAGTTTAGATGAAGACAATTTTGAATGATGTAGTTGAAGATCACGTGGAACAGAATGTCTTCGATGATAATAATTTGAATGATTTATTAGCTTAGACCCTTATTAGAGTGTGACAATTGTATGCAAATGTATAAGGATGGTGGCAAGTAGTCTATTTTTCTTAAAAAATTTTACACATAAGCATATGTATATAAAAAATTAATTTTAACGTGCAGGTAAAATCTACGATTTGTATTACGATTTTACATAACTTGCTTAATACGATTTTATTCCCTTTTCGATTTTAGGTAAAATTCCAATTTTGACTAACTTGCTTAATATAGTTTTTTTTTTTTTTTTTGATAACAGCTTAATATAGTTTTACTTACATATAGTAAAACACTTTTTCATTGAAAGATACGTATACTATCAATTTAATTCTTTAAAATATCATTTATATCACATTAGTTATTTATAAACGAGAAACGATATTTTATCCAAACATCAATCCCAAACTGAAGATATGAGGCGGGTTTAAATTACAATGATATCAATCCCAAACTGTCCATATAGTGATAAGTGTTATAAGTTGCAATTCTCATGTTTTAGGTTTGAATCCTAATATTGGTACTTCTCAAGTATTTTGCTTAAAATTCTGTAGAACTAGTTAAATCGGTTCCCATTTAATACCAATTGAATCTGATGTGGGACTAGTTCAACGATTTTATACTGGATTAAATACATAACTAATTCAATGTCTGAACCGATCACATTTATTTTATTCTTATAGTTAAAAAATATTAAATTTAAGTGCAAGATAAAAAAAAAAGTTTATATATTATTCACGCCTTCAAAGCAAAATATAATCCTCATACGAGGAAATATATTGAGGAATAATATAAAATAGTATATTTAGCTAACAGTTCAAAATTTGTAGTTAAATTAGACTTATATAACCAAATTGAGAAATCATTATCTCATTTTACACGAGATAACTATCTTATGCTTCTCTCACGTAAAAAATTGTGTCACCACTTTTTTTTCTTTTTTTAATGGGTGATGAGCTCCACTACATCATATGTCTATGATAAAATATACTAATTTCCAACAACATAAGAGAAATAAAACCTTATCAAATTAGTTGAAATGGTTAAGTCAGAGGTTATGAATATAAAAATATTTCTAGATGAGCGTGCCTCCTGACTATTTGTTGTTATTATGATTTAATTTCAGATTAATAAAAAAAAAATTGATTTATTTAATTTCATCCATTCCAAGTTCATGAAAAATAGAATATGATCGTGCCAATGTTGGTTTTTAAAATTGGTCTACTCTTTTTAATTGGGATTAAAATACTGGTTTGATGAGTTAAGGAAAATTAACCTATTTTTTATATTCTGTTGTGCCAGAACTTTTAACTTTCCTTAATTCAAAGCCATTTTTATTTTTGTGAAGAATCTACCTTATTTTTTAAAGTGATTAAGTATGAAGCGGAGCTGTTAAAATGAATTAGTTCTAATTTAACGTGTTTATTTTATGTATCGGTTTGTTTAATCTGTTATGTGGTTTGAAAATATTTCTAAATCAATAGGATAACCTACATGTCAAGCGTCAACCTTCGTTAATCAAATTAACTCATGGGTACATAGCTGGAGGAAAAAACAAGGACAATTATTTTGGTTCATTAATCTATCCTATCAAGGATTCAAGGTGGTTGATTTTGACTACTGTGTCCCCTATACTGGCAAACTTGAGTCCAAGCCTTTAAAAGCAGAGGTCTAATGGCAACAATAATCACCGTAAGAATTAATTGTGATCGTAATGGACTAAGCTTATATATATATATATATATATCACTTATCATTTCTCAAGCTGCCGGAGATAAAGTTATTACCGGCTACTAAATCATAACCGTACAAAGATGAATCAATGGTGATAAAGGAAGAGAGAGAAAAGTGGAATCATAACCATTCAAAAGTGAATCAATACATATAAGGAAGTAAATAATCAAAACGACGTAGTTTTGGGGTGACCGGAGATAAATTTATCTGAAGCAGCTTGAGAAATATTTTTTCCATATATATATATATATATGGGATAGGATATTGTGACAACCAAGTAATGTTACTACCAATGTTTCTACCACATCTTAACTGTTGATTTTCGTCAATCAACGGTTATCATTTTTCAAATTAAACTCATTAATTAATTATTAATTCGCAATAAATTATAACCGTTGATTGGCGGAAATCAAAGGTTAAGATGTGGTAGTAACATTATTTGGTTGTCACAATATCATATCCCTATATATATATATATATATATATATATATATATATATATATATATATATATATATATATATATATATATATATATATGGGCTTATCGTTTATCAAGCTGCTTGAGACAATGTTATCTCCGGCTACTAAATCATAACCGTACAAAGATGGATCAATGGTGATAAAGAAAGAGAGAGAAAAAGAGAATCATAATCATTCAAAGGTGAATCAATTAATATAAGGAAATAAAAACAACGTAGTTTTGGGGTGGCCGGAGATAAACTTATCTCAAACAGCTTGAGAAATATTTTTCCCTATATATATAGGGCTTATCATTTCTCAAACTGCCGGAGATAATTTTATCTCCGGCTACTAAATCATAACCGTACAAAGATGGATCAATGGTAACGAAGGAAAGAGAGAAAAAAGGAATTATAACCATTCAAATGTGAATCTATTAATATAAGAAAATAAATAAACAAAACAACGTCATTTTGGGATAGCCGGAGATAAACTTATCTCAAGCTGCTTGAGATAAGTTTATCTCCGACTATCCCAAAATTACGTCGTTTTATTTATTTATTTTCTTATATTAATTGATTCACCTTTGAATGGTTATGATTTCCTTTTTCTCTCTTTCTTTATCACCATTGATCCATCTTTATACGGTTATGATTTAGTAGCCGAAGATAAAATTATTTCAAACAGCTTGAGAAACGATAAGTTCATATATATATATATATATATATATATATATATATATATATATATATATACATATATATATATATACATATATATGTGTGTGTGTGTGTGTATGTATGTATGAAAAAATATTTCTCCAGTCACTTGAGATAAGTTTATCCCAAGCTACTTCTTTTAATTATGTATTATGGATAGCGGCAAAAAAATTAAAATAATGCATTTAAATTAAATAATTACGCTTTTAATGTTGTTTTGTAAAAAATTACACATCTGTTGCACAATGAGACGCCCCCTTTGGGCGTCACATGTGACGCCCCAGTGAGGAGTCTCTCCCTTGGGGAAGACGCCCCATTGGGGCGTCACATGTGACACCCAAAGGGGGCGTCTCATGTGCAACCTATATATACCCCACTTTCCTTTTTTCACTCCTTACTCATTTACCTCTCTAACCTCTCTCTAACCACGGTTCATAGCGAAGCTCTGCCAACGTAGGTAAGGTCATAATATCTCATATGTATACATTTAAATTACAGTGCTAGTTAGTAATACATGTTAGGATTGATTGTATATTAGAGACTTGGAACATTAGGATAGTCACTTAGAACTTTTATGGCATGCTATGAATGTTGTAATGATATAGTAATTTTATTATTACGTAGTTATTATTATTAATTTTTAATTATGCATTAAGGTTTAGCATATTAATTAGTGATTTCTTAATAGTGTTAGGGACTTCGTAAATTTCGTATGTATGATGTTATTAATGCGGGAGTGCATAACTTTGTAGTTAGTTAGGTGTGATGATTAGTACGTATTGGACAAGTTGGTAGTGACCTAGGGTTAAGTATTCAGTTAGTATTATATTATTTTTGTCCGATGTATTATTATTATTTAATTGCAAATAAATAACTGTTCTACGTTTTGGCGGGACTTCATAAATTTCGATTCTAGTTAAATAAATGGCGCATATGCTTAATTTTTGTGATAATCAATTATGTCACTGCTTAATTAAATTGTAAATAAAATGGGGCATTACATGTGATTAATTTAAATGTTGTTTTATATTATATAGTTGAGGATAATGGTTGAGTCATCATCTTCATCGGGATCTGAGTCGGATGTAGAGCCCAATGATCCCAGCATGTGGATCATACCTGGGTCGTACAGGTGGGAGGTCCTTCGTAAGAGGACGCAGAAAGCTCATATTTCACAACGAGTGTGGAATACAGAGCATGTAAGAAAAATTAAGACCAGGCGTGGGAAGCCACAAGGGGGGCCACCTACCGGTGCTGTTCCACAGGTTGTCGAAGAGTACCTCAGACAGGCGGGTTTCATACATGTTGCCAGGATGCAACATATCCAGGTATGTTATTTACGTCGTTTTGTATTTATGTAATTATTCAATAAAATTCGTTAACACGTGATAACTGCGTAATTTATCACAGATCGATACATTTTTAATTAATGCTCTGGTCGAGAGGTGGAGACCAGAGACACATACCTTTCACATGACCCAAGGTGAGATGACGATCACCTTACAAGATGTGGCAGGCATATTGGGCTTGCCGACTGACAGCACTGTCGTCACCGGATCGACCCCCGAGGATTGGCACGCTGCTTGTGCTGCTGTTTTTGGACATGTTCCAGAGGCCGGTGAGTTCCATCATTCCGGCGACCTCCGCATCTCATTCTTGGATCGACATTATACCCGGTGGACTGATCATGAGGGGAATCACACTGCCGGGATCTACTTCACAAAAGCCCGCATTGCCCAGATGTTGGGGACTTGGTTGTTGGCGGACAATTCTGGAGGTAGCAATTTTGGTTGCCGGCTTGTCCCGTTGCTAGGTGGAGGATTTGAGGACATTGGCCGATTCAGCTGGGGATCTGCGATTTTGACACACTTGTTCAGGAATTTGTGTGAATTGACAGATGCCCGTCGAACTGACATGGGTGGTTGCCATATTCTCCTTCAAATTTGGGCATGGATACGATTCCCACCAATTGCTCCACCCCTTCCTCCTCATCCAGAGCCGGGCACACATTATGGATGCCAGTATGATTTATTTACTTCATTTGATTTCGATAATGTATGGTTGATAATGTATATACTAACTGTATACTTCTTGATTATGATTGATAATGAATGTTTCTGATTGACAGGTTTAATACTGTAGAAAAGTTTAAACCTCATGAGGTCACCCATTATCGGGCAACATTGGACACACTCTGTAGAGATGAGGTTAGGTGTTGGATACTTACGATGTTGTTATTTCTCTATGGGTTTTTTTTTTTTTGTAACTCTATATATTGTTTCACATTTTGTTTGTAGGTGGTGTGACAGCCATATATCAAATATGAGTGGCTTGACGTGACTCTAGAGCAGCAGTACCTGTGGCTTGCTGCCACACCTATTATCTACTTCCACACAGTATAGGCATGTCAACCGGATAGGTGCATGCGACAGTTCGGTCTTGATCAACCCATCCCGGATAAATCTAGAAAGTTGAGAGGGATACATGATCATACTCCGCGGGGGAAGGTTGAAGAAAACTGGAGACGTAAGCTGAGGGCTCACATTGATCGATGGAATACCAGGATTCAGCATATTGTACTGCCTCCTCCATTATATGGTTTGATGTCACCTAATCATGCGTACATGGAGTGGTACAGAGAGAGGGGAAAGTGCTACATATCTCGGAGGGCAGTAAAGATAGGCCGCATGGTGAGTTTTGTACATATTTTACATTTGTTTCACATTTCTAACATGTTTTCGTAATATACAGATTGACGGTCTTGAAATGCTTTATCATGCAACAACGGCGGAGGAGTTTCCTCGATTTGGCCTAGAGTATATCCACAAGGAGATTGACCAGATTATTGGAATGTTTCGTGAGAGTTCACGAGTTGATGAGCCTGGACCTGAGGCACCCCCCGTGCAGACACAGCATGATCCTCAGTTGATCGTGGATGTTCCTCGTAATAGACGGGAGGGACGCGGATTAGGACGTAGACGTGAGAGAGTTGCTGTTGAGCCTGTCCCGATTATGGCACCGAGACAAGTGGTCGAGACTCAGGGATGGTTCAGACCTCTAGTCATTGGTCCTACTTACGGGTCACAGCCGATTTATCATCATGGATCGCAGTATGCGGCAGATCCTAGTCAGGCGGCGTCTGAGCACCCTTACATTAGAGGACAGGAGCCAGTTTTCCAGGCTAGTCCGATGGCTATGGCAGGAGCGGATCCAGCATCCTCGCAGCCTGATTTCCAGCCCTATTCACAGGGACTTGATGTCGATTACCCCTTTTGGTCTGCAGAGGACACGATTGAGTTGTATCGCTCTGTAGGCCTTGTTATAGAGAGCCATGACAATGGGGAGACTCTAGCCACAAATTCTCACAGTCAGGGACACACCCCTTTTGATGTGCCAGGCAGTAGTGCAGGACCATCAAATGATTTCATCCGTGCAGCGATGGATGACTTCCACACTCCACCACCACAGGTGCATCAGGGAGACCCAGTCTGGGACAGACGTATATTGCCAGATAAGGATGCACGACATAGGCCATGGCCACCGTGGTCGTAGTTTCATTGCCATTTTGGCCACCCTTACATGCACGACATGCAGCTGTTCAGACAGTTCCTTTGCAGATGGTTCTGATGGCTTCCACTTTGGCACCTGCGGTACCACCTTCGGTTGGGCGTGTGTACACCTTGGATAGGCAGCAGTCAGACTGCACTCTGAACCTTGTTAGAGGTACTGTGTTTATTGGTGGTATTGTTGTTGATGCATTGTTTGACTCCGGGGCTACGCATTCGTTTGTTGCTACCCCGATTGCTTTGGGGCTTGAGTTGCCCATGTCTGTGCTTTCTCCACCGTTGCGGGTGACTACCGCCACCGGAGAATTTTGTGATTCTACCACTGTACATCGCGATGTAGCGTTTCAGTGGGATGGTCGTGAGTTCTCGGTAGATCTGATAGGATTGCCGATGGCCAACTTGGAGATTATTCTGGGCATGGATTGATTGTCTAGAAACTGTGCACTGATTGATTGATGTGCAAAGCGCGTGGTGATGTCTCCGTGTGATTCCACAGCTAGTTCCTCGCCATATATTTCATTGCTGCAGGCTAGGAAGGCCTTGAGAGCAGGGGCTTTTGGTTATGTCATGTTGGGAGGTTTGGTGAGTGGGACACATGAGGATATCACTGGCATTCCTGTGGTGGGGGAGTTCCTCTAGGTGTTTCCTGAGGAGATTTCTGAGTTTCCGCCTCAGCAGGAGATAGAGTTCTCCATTGATTTGTTGCCTGGTGTGGGGCCGATTTCTTGAGCTCCATATCGGATGTCGCCACCGGAGTTGGCTGGGCTGAAGAAGCATATTGAGGATCTTTCAGCGAAAGATTTCATCCGACCGAGTGTGTCTCCTTGGGGAGCACCAGTCATCTTTGTGAAGAAGAAGGATGGGACAATGCGATTGTGCACCGACTACATGCAGTTGAACAAGGTGACGATCAAGAACAAGTATCCCCTTCCTCGGATTGATGATCTGTTGGATCAGCTCAGGGGTGCTTGTGTGTACTCCAAGATTGATCTCCGGTCCGGATACCGTCAGATTCGGGTGAAGCCGGAGGATGTCCCTAAGACTGCGTTTCGTTCGAGATACGGTCACTTTGAGTATTTGGTGATCCCGTTTGGACTCACCAATGCGCCGACAATGTTCATGGATTACATGAACAGGATTTTCCAGCCGTATCTGGATCAGTTTGTGATCTTCTTCATTGATGACATTCTTATTTACTCCAAGACTGAGGAGGAGCATGCGGAGCATCTGAGGATTGTTCTGCAAGTGCTGAAGGAGAAAAAGCTTTATGCTAAGTCTTCTAAGTGTGAGTTTTGGCTCAAATCAGTCAAGTTTCAGGGGCATGTGATTTCAGCGGATGGAGTTGCAGTGGATCCCAACAAGATTGAGGTCGTGCTGGATTGGGAGAGACCCAAGACAGTTACGGAGGTGAGGAGCTTCTTAGGTTTGGCAAGTTACTATCGGAGGTTCATCAAGGGTTTCTACACAATGGTTCTCCCTTTGACTCGCCTTACCCGAAAGGAGACTCCATTTGTGTGGACTCACGAATGTGAGGATTGCTTTCAGGAGAGGTTGATTACTTCACCTATGTTGATCCTTCCTGATCCTGAGGAGCAGTTTGAGCTTTACTGTGATGCTTTTGGAATGGGGCTGGGCTGTGTGTTGATGCAGTCTGGTAGGGTTGTTGCTTTTTCTTCAAGGCAGTTGAAGCCTCATAAGGAGAATTAGCCGACTCATGATTTGGAGTTGGCTGCGATTGTATTTGCTTTCAAGATTTGGAGGCATTACCTGTTTGGCATGCAGTTTGCGGTGTTCAGTGATCACAAGAGCTTGAAGTATCTGTTTGATCAGAAAGAGCTGAACATGAGGCAGAGGAGATGGATGGAGTTTCTGAAGGACTACGACTTTGAGTTGAAGTACCACCCTGGTAAGGCCAATGTGGTAGCTAATGCTTTGAGTCGGAAATCCGTGAGTCTATCCAATTTGACGATGGGTGACTTCGACCTCATAGAAAAGTTTCGAGATCTGAAGGTGACCACCTTGTTTGGGGTTTCACTTCTCGAGATAGAGACTGTGAGAGTCAGGAATGAGCTTATGGAAAAGATCCACGAGGCGCAAGTGCAGAGAGAGTGTCTCGACTACGTGAAGAACCAAGATGGTGTGTCTTGGAATGAGGATGGACTTCTGTTGTTTCAGAAGCGTGTTGTGATTCCTCGAGGTCCTTTGACTGAAGAGGTTATGGCGGAGGCCCATAAGGGACAATTCACTGTTCACCCTGGTGCTACAAAGATGTACCAAGACCTGAAGAGGAATTTCTGGTGGCCAGGAATGAAGAAGGACATAGCTGTGTATGTGTCCAAGTGTTTGATCTGCCAGAAGGTGAAGATTGAACACCAGAAGCCGTCTGGTAAACTTCAACCTCTTGAGATTCCAGAGTGGAAATGGGAGAGCATTTCCATGGACTTCGTTGTGGGTTTGCCGAAGACTCAGGTTGGCTGTGACTCGATATGGGTCATTGTGGACAGACTGACGAAGTCTGCCCATTTCCTTCTAGTGAAGGTGAGCTTCACTACAGAGCAGTTGGCCAAGCTTTACGTTCGCGAGATTGTGAGGCTTCACGGGGTGCCCGAGAGTATCATTAGTGATAGGGACCCAAAGTTCACATCTCGGTTCTAGGAGGCGCTGCAGGGAGCTTTTGGTACGCAGTTGAGACTGAGTACAACCTATCACCCTCGGACTGATGGACAGACTGAGCGGACTATCCAGACCTTGGAGGACATGTTGCAGGATTGCATGTTGGAGCAGGGCTCGGCATGGGATAGGTACCTTCCATTGGTGGAGTTTTCGTATAACAACAGTTTCCATGCTAGCCTGGGCATGGCACCCTACGAGGCGCTCTACGGTAGGAGGTGTCGTACACCTACCTGCTGGTCTGAGGTTGGGGATCGTGAGTTGTTTGGCTTGGACTTTGTCCAAGATACCACCCTGCAGATCCAGATGATCAAAGAAAAGCTGAAGCAGGAACAGAATCGCTAGAAGAGTTACTACGATGTCAAGCATCGTCCACTGGAGTTCAGTGAGGGTGAGCACGTGTTTGTGAGACTTTCACCTGTCACCGGTGTTGGACGGGCACTCGGAGTGAGGAAGCTGAGCCCGCGGTTTATTGGGCCATACCAGATTCTTGGTAGGGTAGGACCTGTTGCCTACCGGCTTGCCTTGCCTCCGAACTTGGCTAACATTCACGACATGTTTCACGTGTCTCAGCTTCGGAAGTACATAGCAGATCCATCGAACGTGGTGCAACCTGATGATGTGGAGGTTCGGGAGAACCTAAAGACTCCCGTCGGACCACTAAAGATTCTCGATCGTGGCAAGAAGCAGCTGAGGAACAAGATCATTCTGATGGTCAAAGTGCAGTGGACCGGAAGAACTCTTGAGGAGTTTACTTGGGAGCGTGAGGACGAGCTTCTCCGACAGTACCCCGAGTTTCGACCAGGTATGTTTCTGATTTTGAGGTCAAAATCCTAAAAAGGTGGGGCGAACGTAAGAACCTGCACCGTTAATTAAGGAATTTTAATTAATAAATTATGAGAAAATAGGAAATGATTCCATAATTGACCCTAATAATTATTATGAGGCTTTAATAATTATAGTAAGTGATTATAATGTTGAAAGTCGCTTTTCGGAAGAAAAGTGCAGATACCGGTTCTACTAGTCGGTATAAATGCGTACCGAAAAAGTATCCCAGAAAATTATAATAA